GTAAGTTTGAGGAGGGGTGCAGGGTTTCAAGGTGAAAGGAGGTGGCCCACTGTTACAGTGAGAGGAAATGCTCCTATCTCCCGGGTCCCTGGCCTAAAGGACACTTGCCATGGGTGATGGCGTCCAACCTTTCGCCCTCACAGGGCAGCAAGGAGACAGGAGGAATTGTCTTGGGCTGGCATATAAAATGTTTTATATGGTTAATGTATGCAGGTCACAAAACTTGCTTTATTTTTAAATGTTTTACCTTATTAAATTATTTCATAAATAGCACAACAAGCCCATGCTTAATAATCGAACAAGAAAACATACATGTCTGGTTCGTGTCCTCACAGGTACACACACCTGGGGGAGGGCCGAGACACCATTACAGCACGGTACGGTCATCGCCCCATTTTATTCTCCAAGTAGCACAAGCGCAAGTAACATCTGTTTGGGTTTCAATCCCACTGACCCCGTAGCGGGTGCAAGAGGCAGAGTTGGCAGTGCACTGCCCGCTTCCCACAACAGCGCTCTGCTGTTGCCCAGTTAATCCGAGTACAAGCACCCACACAATCAAATCATGAAAAATATCACTGAAACGCACATTATAATGCTAACCCTTTATAATCTTGCTGTCTGGGGCTGTCTGGGGCCCTCAGGCCCTCTTGGTCCCTGCTAGTCATCGCGCTTTTAGGCTTCAAGGTCAAACACTCCAAGAAGAGGAAGCCTCACTCCCATTACAGGTTCAAAGAAATCAAGGCTCAGGCAGGCTAAGTTATCTAGCTAAAAGTGGAACCTGTTAACAATGACTCAGGTATCTTTTCCAGACACTACTGTGATTCTGGTCAGGCCAAAGCCCTTCTACCTAGGGACTTTGGTTCTCAGCCTTAACGAATGGTGAGAATCACCTGTGAGCTTTCCGGACAGTTCCCAGTTCCTGCCTGAGACTGGGATCCATCTTCAGTGCCCTGGCCATGGGAATTTCTCAAAGCTTCCTACAGATTCTAATGTGCAGAAACCAACCTGCTCATGGGTCTGTATTGATGTAAAGCATTTAAAGGACATCATTTAAACTCCTTTGATGCCAGTCAGAATTCTTTGCTATTGCAAGAAAACTATGGAAGTACCTACCACAAATCTTAAGTGGGCATTTTTTAAAAGAAAGATGAGGGTTTATGGCAGAAAAGAAGATTTTTGCATGATTTTTCTGGCAACGCTCTATCGTGTTTCAGGCAACCAAAAGGAGGGTATATGTTTCCATTACTATATGCAACTCTATTTACTGCTTGGAGACTAACAGTACTATTTGAGAACTCTCAAATTCCTAGTTACCTCTTACTCTAGAGAACCAACTACTTACTACTGCCAGCAAACCAAAGCACGTGTAACTATTGGTTTAAAACACTGCTTTGCTGTTCTAAGTAGACAAGTGATTCAGAAAGAGTAGTTAGTATACTGAAATATGCTATGGAAATATTTGTACAAACAGAAAATCTTACTTTAATAAAAGTTTCATTCATTCGTAATGGTACGAATCTCTAATAATATTTTAAAGTAATGAAGAAACAGTTTCAGTTATTTTTAGATATAAACCTTTAATTAGCATACTCATTATAAATTGCATGACTGATGAGCCAGCTAAGAAAAACAGACCACACTTTAATAGTTATAAAAGTTTCCGATGTGGATTCTCAATTAATTAGCAATTCAGGTCAATTTCGTCTTTTCCTTTTCGTGAACCTACATGTAAACAAGACTGTGAGCCTTTTTTTCTGCATGCCATCACTCCCTCGGGTGGCTCTTTAACAGACTGGCTAAGGAGAGAGGGTGCTGGCCCAAAGGGTCCTCAGTTAATGACCCTGCAGTTAATGACCTGTCTACTCAAAGGCAGACACCACCTATCTGCAGTAGACTCACCTTCCCATTACACCACCCAAAGGCCTAAGGAAGAGAAGCCTTGAAAATGCTAAGAGGTCATGCTGAAAGTCAGAACTCAGAGGGATGCTTTTAGCTAAAGGAGAAGCCATTTGTGGAAGGCTTAGCAATGACCTTCCCCAACTAGAGCTCTAGGGCTGCCCCACCTCAGGGGATAATAGGTCCCTCAGCCCAGGTTTTAGGTCCTCTCTGAGTGCTATAAATGTCACAGATCCCTCTGAAAGGGAAACCAGTGCTCAAAGTTCCCCACTCCCGTTCTGAAACTCCCATGGCTCCAAACAGAAGGGAAGCTGGAATGGAGGCTCTTTTCCTTTCTCCAGCGCTACCTCCCCCACCCCTCACCAGAACAATTACTTTCCAACACCCCCCAACAATGGCTACGGCTTCCCAGCCTGCCCTGCTCATCTTCTGCCCATCCACCTTCCTTCTCCAGAGGCCAATCTCTACCCATCTGTATGGTTAGAATAACATCTGAGCCCTACCATGAGCCCTAAGACTCTTGTGGAGCTTTCCCTGATTGCTCCTCTGACCTTGGCCACCACCCCTTCCCACCTCTCATTCAATACTCAACGGGCTCCTTTGCGCCCTTAGCACCGAATTCACCCCTGAATCAGTACTTCAGCACTTGCTATTCCCTCGCGCTGGAAGCCAGTCACACAAAAATCTCCCCAAGCTGTGCAGAGGCCTTCCGGGGCCACACAATCCAAAGAGGCTCCACATGTGTGTCTCTGTCCCCACTGTCACCAGAGCCATTCCCTGTGCCTCAAAGATTCCCTTGGGCCTGCCCCAGTTAACCAGTTCTTCAGTAAAACCTCTTAGCCACCACAGTGTGTGCTACCATTAGGACAGAGCACTATGACCTGGTGCCCCACCCTTCTGCCTTCTATCAGATTTTCCTGCTTTATTTTCCATTGAACTTATCACTACTGTCAGCCCTGTTTCCTTGGGTTCCACATCTGCAGATCTGACCAATTTTGAATCAAAAATATTTTTTAAAACGCACTGACATTGAACATGTACAGATTTTTTCCTTATTATTCTAAAAATACAGTATAATAACTACTCACACAGCATTTACACTGCACTAGGTATTACAAGTAACTTAGAAATGATTTAGTGTAAGAGGATGTGCCTAGGTTAAATGCAAACACTATGATACTTTATATGAGAGACTTGTGTGTCCATGGATTTTAGTATCTGAGAACCAATAATCATCCACTCAGAGGAATTACTATATCTGAGAGTATCTTGTTCACTTATTTCTTTTCCATTGTCTGTCACCTCTTCAGTTACTAGAACCCAAGCTCCATGAAAGCAGAGAGCTTGGCTTGTTCACTACTCTCTCCTCTGGGCCTAAACCTGTCTGGAACATGGCATCTAATCAATAGCAGAGAATAAATGAATGAAGAAAGGCTGGCCCAGGGTCTCCACTCAAAGTATGGCCTTATCAGAGAGCCCCTTCCTGATCAACTGATGTAACCTAACAATTTCCCTCCCTTCCAGGATCTTGACTCCCCAAGTCTCGCTTTTCCTTAGAGCCTCCTCACTTACTGATATATTTGATATTTATTTAGTGTCTGCTCCCCCTACCAAAATGTCAGCCCTGAAGGTAAAAAAATGCAATTCTGTTTACTGCTATATTCTCAGATCTTAGACTAGTGCTGGGGCCACAGCACAATCTAATTAATGAATGTTCAAATACCTAGCTAGCAAAGTGAGCAGATTCTTACAAAATACAGCAGCAGAATGGTCCTGACCCTGGGAGGAATAAACCTATGAAGTGCCAGACATCCAAGAAAATAAACTCGGTCTTAGGTGACTTGATCTTGCTCCGGGGAAAGACACCCTAGGACCCCTAAGAAAGAGGCCTGAAATGCTGGCTAGAGTTTAGCTCATGGAGACAGGAAAAGGTTTTAGAGTAAGATGAAGAGGATCCAGAGTGGGGTCAATTGTTGCTCTAAAAAGCATACCCAGAAGCTTACACGGCCATTATGATTCCTTTCTTTAAGTAAATGGGCATATAAATTACAAATCAATGGGTCCAAAGCACATCATTCCCTGTTCCACCGTGGTGTTCATGGTGTTCCTCTTGGCAGCTGCCTCCAAATACAGTTCATTGATGGTACATGCCGACTCACAGCCAAGTACCGAAAGCACTGTTTCTTTTGACAGCTGCTCTCTTAATGGGGCAGCTCTCAAAAGCTGGTTTCATTCTGCAACGCCCACAGTGTCCAAATTTTATTCTGCACAATAATTGAAGAATTGAAATAAATACCTCCTCCTCGCCAATCACTGATTACTCATACCTGCCCCCTCACCCTCCAGAGAGTCTAAATTGTGTGGATTTGAGGGAGTGGGGATCAACTTCTAATGTACTGAGTGTCCCTTGTGGTGGCATGTCATTCCTTCAAGGGAACAAGATTCCTTGCTAAATATCCTAAAGGCTTAGAAAATGGTCTCCCTAACCCCAACAGCATGCGACCCAAACTGGGCAGCCAACTGCAGAATAATGAGCAACCACAGATCCTCACCCAAACACGGGCTTTTCTTCCAATAGTGCAGATTGGGAATGCTGAGACGTCACCCTATTTAGGAACAGTGAGTCACGTCGCCGCTCAACGTCTGTTTCCTCCTCCCTGTGAATGAGGTGACCCCTTCCTCTATCTAAGGAGTAAAAGTGGGCTGTGGCTAAGGCCCCCGAGGTACACTAGGGGCTCCCCTGCCACTGTGGGTGCGAATTCATCACCCCACGCTCTCACTTCGCCGTCACTCGCTCCAATAACCACCAGGACGCAGCGGCGTCGCTGGAAAGCAGTGGCGAGCCCGGGGCAGAGGGGAGCCGAGCACGCCTGGGTAGCTGCTCTCGGACACCCGAGGCCCGCGGACACAGCTTCCACTCCACCCTGCCGGGAGCCTTGGGGACCACGGCCCGGGGGCGGCGCTGCGTCTCAGGGTGGCTGCGTCCCAGGGTCGCCCCGCCCCGCCCGCGAGGCCTGAAGCTCCGCGCAGGGACTCGCGCCGCTGCCTCCTGGCAACAAGTGTCCGCCCTCCGCCCCGACGGCCCGGCGCGGCCCGGCCCTCACCCGGCACAGGCCGTCCACGAACACGCGCGAGTCCAGGTGGCAGGCGATGGTAGCGCTGGGCAGGTCCTGCAGGTCCACCTCCTCCATCTCGCAGTCGATGAAGCTCCAGTCGCCGCCGCCCTCGTCGGCCTCAGCCGCCCCGGAGAAGGGCGCGAAGGGCCGCAGCGTCACCCCGGGCCGCGCCCGCGCCTCGGCTGCCTCCCCTGCCGCCCCGAGCCGGGGCCCGGCCACGCCGTCCTCCATCCCCGCGCTCCCCGTCCTCCAGCCCGCGCGCCCCTGTGCGCCCCCGCCGGCTCCGCCGAGTTCGCACGCCAGAGCCTCGCGCTCTCTGCTCAGCGCCGCGGCCGCCGGCTCCCGGTAAACCCTCTCTGGATGGCGCTGCTGCCGGCGGTCACCCCCGCTCCCTCCGACGCGGCTTCCGAGCGCCGACCCCGCCCGCCTTCATTCCACGCAGGAGGGGCGGAGGCGCCCGACTGGCCTAGCTCGGAGAGCGGAGGGCCGGCGAGCTCAGCCGTGGTTCCTTTAAGGCTGGCCCACGCTGGACTATTGTGTCCCGCCTTTCCCGGAGAAAAGGCCAATCAAGAAGCGATATTCTCTTCACGTGCTCGTCATTGTCCGCCCTAAGCCTGAAGTCTAAGAGCGGCCATGTTAGTTAGGGGCAAAGTCCTTTTTAGCCACTTCTTTTTTGATAGCTGGTAGTAGCTGCTGAAGGACATCAGGCAGGGTCTTGGGCTCTTGGGGTGACAGTTGAGGAGGCAGCCCTTATGCGCCTCCTATCCGGTGACGTTTTGAAATACATAAGTCAACGTTGGCGATGTAAGGGAAATCTAGTTCTGGCTACGCCTTTATGTTGCCATTGGCAAGTGGTTAGATGCTGGCCTTATATTATCAAATGTAGTTGTAAATGAAGATTGAACTAAGCCGCAATAACAATACCTTACTTTTCTATTTTGGCTTTTTAGTCATTATATTATTGTTCAAAATTTATATAATTAGAAGTAATTTTATTTTTAATGACCACTGAATCATGTACAGTAGTAAATGAAGGAAGACATTGGTCCTTGCCTTTGGGGAGTTTATTACAGAGGGAAAAACAGGATTTCAAATGCACCTGTCTCTCTTTCTTCCTACTGGGTGCAATTCCTTCACCACGGACAGTGACACAATGAAAACTTAGTTCTGAATTTCAGTTTCGCTGTTGATTACTTGGAAGAGTAATCTGAATCTCCCGTTCCCTTTTAAAAAATAAGATTATATGAGGTAAGAATCCAGTAGATGTTCAATAAATAGTAGCTTTGTTTATGTGCTAGGTTCTCTGAAGAATGTGAAATAAGATCTGCATTTTCTTCTGAAGTTGACTTACCTTCTAGTTAGGAAGTGTAACTGATGATAAAAAACTACTAAACATCCAAGTAACAGTTGGGATTTATTTAGAACATGCCGGGTTTAAGGTTCTGTTGTTGCTATTATGATGATCTTAGGGAAGTTTGTGCTGTCATGGACCTTAAATCCAAAAGAAGTGAGATACATGCAGAAGTAACTCAAAGTAGAATGCAGTGTAAGGATTTGGAGAAATTGGAGCCATTGTCAATAATACCTGTGGGAATATAAAATGGTGCAGCCACTTTGGTAAACAATTTGGCAGTTTCGCAAAAAGTTAAATGAAGATTTACCATATGACCCAGCAGTCTCTTTTCTAGGTATATACCTCAAAGAAATAAAACCTTACAGAAACTTGTACTTAAAAGTTTACAGCATTATTATTCATAATAGCCAAAAAATGGAATCAGCCCAAGTGTTCATCAGCTGATGGATAGCTACACCAGAAGTCTATCCATACAATGAAATATTATTCGATCACAAAAAGGAAGCACTGATACTTGCTGCAACTTGGGTGGGCCTTGGAAACATGCTAAGTGAAAGAAGGGTGTTGCAAAGGGTTGCATGTATTCCACTTACACAAAAATCCACAGAGATAAAAAATAGATTATTGGTTACCAGGTACTAGAGGGGGAAAGAGGAGTGACTACAAATGAGCAAGGCATTTCTTTTTATGGTGTTGAAAATCACTTAAAATTGATTGTGATGATGTTTGCACAACTCCTTGAAAATATTAAAAATCACTAGATGGTGCTCTTATGGTATGTGAGTTATATCCCAATAAAGCTGGTTTTGGGGTTTTTTTTAAAGAGAGAATGTAATAAAGGCCACACAGGGTTAGATGCAGAAATGCAGCTGACTGGATGACAACACAGAGTTGAAAACCCTCTATGAACTCTAGCCAGACATTCTGAAAAGGGCAGCAAAGGAGATGAGGCACCAGTTTTGGAAAAACAATACCCAGCCAACCCGTTGCTGGGTGGATCTGTGTTGTTTTCATCCTAGGACAGTACGCTCTTTCAGTGCTGGCTTACTGTAAGCTGCTTATGGCACGCAGTGTGGGCCTGGGGGACAAAGCATGCAAGGCAAAAGGAAAGCACAAGTGCAACAGAAACCCACAATGCACCAGAGCTTCCCATCACAGCTGTCTCCCTGCTCTGTGGAGACAGGACTGAATGGGTACAACCTCAGGCAGGTGACAAAGACAGAGTGCGAACAAGTGACTTTGGAATGCTGCTGGCCATTACTTGATCATCACTTGGATTCAGACCAAGTGGATGTCCACCTTTCTCCCCTGGCCCTCCCTGGGCAGCGAACTAGAGAGGTGATATTTCCTAGTCCATTTCCTACTCCAGCAATAATACCAATTTCTTTTGTGTAGCCCTTAAATAGTTAATGGGAACGTGTGAACTAGCTTTATCATCCTCGGAGATATCTGTTATTACTGCAGATTCTTGGAACCGAGGCCCAAGGAGCGCAAACGACCTTCCCACAGGCAAACAGACACCAAATGACAAAGCAGGACCTAATGGGACTGTCATTCCCACACTGCTTCTGCTCCTTGGTTCTACAGGAAACAGAAAAATAGGAAGGAACCAAAAAAGCATAGCAAAAAGGAGAGAAGAAGGAAAATAAGGCAAAGGAAAGGGAGAGGCAGGGAGATTGAGAGCAGAAGATAAGAGATTTTTGAAGTTCAAAGTGGGGTGTTGACCCTAAGTGAGAACCTTGTCTAGCCCAGCACGGGCTGCCCTGAAGAGCACACGCTGATCAGGATGCTTGGAGGTAGCTCTTCAAACCTCGGGGCAAAATGACAGAAAGCTCTCGATAAACAGGATTAGCAACATGTCCCCTGCATCTGTACACCCAGGATTCTTGCATTATGCAGGCAATATATTTATTAAGAAAATGTTCTGTTTCTCCTGCCACTTAGAAAATAAAACAGTAACTGCCACCTTCACCATGCCTTCAAAGTTTAAGAAAAGCAGACAACTGTGATTTCTGCTTTTCCTGACACTCGCAATTAATAGCACAATCAATAGCCTGACCCAGATAGGAGAAAATAGAGACTGTGAGCTGTCAACGGGGAAGACAGAAACTAAGCCAAACATGCTCCTTGAATGCAATCGCAGACCTTTCTAAGGATGAAATCATCTAAACTTGGGGGCAATCTTTTCAGAGGCTGTAGCTCCATAAAACACATGGATTCCTCCAGCTGCCTTTGGGAATTGTTCGCTGTGCCCTTTCTACAGGCTGCAGTGATGGAACCTAAAGTCTATCCTTGCTTCTCAGCATCTAACTAGACAGCTTGCCCTTCTCACTGCTCAAAAGAGCTGATTTGATCCAGATCCTTAGATACCCTGAAGGGAAAGGAACCAAAAGAGGTAAAGATCTTCTTTCATTTTGTTTTCAAATGGTGGAGGAGGGACCCAAATTTTAATTAATATACCCTACCATCTATTATTCATTTCCCCTCTGTACGCATCCTTCGTGTCAGCCATCGCAATTACAGAATATAAAGGGAGAGGCAGTGCTCAGAACACCTTATTTGGTTGTTTTTGTTCTTCACACCTGTCTCTTCCATTTATTACAGCCCAGTTATGCAAACATGCCTATGAGGAATAAGCCAACCTATTCAATTGCCAGGTAGGAAAGTTTCGCTCTACTGTACTTTCATCACTTCCCATTTTGTTCTGGAAATGGAAGAGGGCTGTGTTCAGCAGGCATTTTCTGAATGCTTATTAAACGAATCAATCAAAGGCATTTCTGAACATTCTGAGAAAGCATAGGCATTTTAAAATTTTATTTAAGGTAAATTGCTGACTTTATTAATGTCTGCTTGTGCAAGGCATGAACTGTTCCAGAGGCTGCTCAAATAAATAAGACCTTTAACTAAATCGATCAAAACTTTCTATTTTGTTACTGCCTATAAATGAATAAAAATTTTGTGCCATTTTGTTGTGCTTTGTGTTGGTTTGTTTTCTTTTTTTTAAAAAAAAAGGAACTTCCCCACTCTATAAGGACTCCTGTTATTTTTGATGATTTTCAGATGTTTTTAATTCAGAAACTCGGTTATATATTTGGTTTGGAGAGAACATATTGGAGTTTGGTTACTTTGTCTTTCCACGTTTTGAAAGTAGACTTTTACATTTCTCTAAATTCTCTTTTAAGTATGTTGGTACTCATGCGGTTTTTATGTGAGCTAGGATTCTTCTGCCTGTGAGATTTTAAAATTCTGAAGCTAGTTTAAACAAGAATAAATTGAATTAAGGGTTTGGGGATCCTTCTAAAAGCCAAAGGAAGGAACGGCACAGCCATGGGATGGTCCTGGACACTGAGTCTCCACTGTATCCAGGAGCCAAGCTGCCTTTTGGGGCCGTCTTGAGACCATGAGAGGTAGGAGATGGGCATATAAACTAACGCATGTCCATTAAAATTAGCAGCCCAGGAATTTTCAATGAGCTCTTGCTGTTCAGATTGCCCTCCCTTATTACTATGACCTAAAATCAATGTAGGAGAAAGTATAACACCCAACCTGCTAGATGTCAGATATGCCAAGTTCTTGTCCCCTGAAATCGAAGAATGAATCTAAGCAGCAACGGAGGTTAAGCGTAGGCAAAATTTATTGAGAGAGATAGCTCCTGAGAGACAGGAGGGGACCTGAAAGTGGGCTGCCACTGAGGCCACTTCTCTAGGAATGTCTTGTAGAGCAAAGTCACAAAGTGGATACAAAATCACAAGGGGAGTACAATATGGGTCAAACTATATTCAGCCAATAAGGTTACAAGTATAACCACATAGCTAATATTGATCCAATAGAGAAGCAGTTCATGTAAGGGGTACATGGAAAGAACAAAGGTGTCTTTGGGAAGGGATGGGTC